CAATCCGTTTGGCTGCATCTCTCACGATTACCTCTCAACTCATGTAACACCAAACGGAGAATGACTCACCAACGGTGTCCCGAGCTGACTAAGCGAGCCTATTCTCCGCATCGAGCCTCTCCGTTGAACCGATCAGAACGTGGTATTAAAAGTGCACAAGAGTATTTTGAGTCAGAAACCCCCTCGATTGACACGCCTTGCCCCATCGGTGTCCTGGTGCCGTCGTTATCCTGTAACCAAACGTCAAAACCACACTCCACCATTGTCTGAGTTTTTCCCACATCGAGATTATCGCTTATAACTTTCCTTCTTATATACATTCCGTGACTCATTTTATTGTTCCTATATACAAGGCTGGGGGTAGTGCTTCGGTGGGGCGAGGCCGAGCACATAGTCATGGTGAGTATTTTAGAATCACTAAAAACTTCTTAACCTATCCACGAGTCGTAATTTTTTCATCTTTGTTGGTAAGACGTGGGTTGACCTTGTTGTCGCAATTTGGTCTTGCTGTCAGGGCGACATATTAAAACGCACCTTGTCCGAAATCCTCTGCCATAGTAGTTATCATAAGTCCCAGAATCAGCCAGTGGACGTGGTACATTCCTAGACGTTTCGCCGGCATCGTAGTCCTCGCCAAGCTACATACTCGTCAAAGAGACAAGTGAAGTCAATCCCTCTATCAACGTTCTACCGAAAATAGTAACATTATCACTCTTCTTTCTGTCCTGGCTTATCTATTAACTCTTTACCCTCTTATCCAACTCCCGTCCTATCACAACTCGTCAAAATGTGCCCTTTTGTGGAAATTCTAGTGTGGCCCCATCACACTTGCTATCTACCCCGACCCCTCTCTTTCTATCGGCATATCCGACTCGGGCCTCCTATCCGGATCCCTTCATTGTCTCGTGGATCCGTTCCTTATCTTTCTGGTTGACCGATTTAACTCGGTTCCAGTCCCTGTGTGCATTTCACTCCAGGCGCTATTTCTCAATGCCTTAGAAGCACGTACACCGTCGCTTCACTAAGCAGAGCGCCTAAGCTCTGATTACAATGCTTGCAGATATCAGGCCTTCCCTTCACGGGAATTCTCCTTAATTAAACCCATGTTAACTGAGCAAACTGTGGACGACTATCTTTGGTCGCATGCGGCATCTCAAGTGGATTTCTAGTACATTTTGGCTATAACGCCGAATTTCTGTGACGGTTTGCCTATCTGTTGGCCTAGCACCCTGACTGCCAGGCCCCCAAAGTTGTCCTGGTGTGCTACTCGAGGCATTATCTCCCAAACTCTGCCTCTGAGAGACTAACTTGAGGCTAAAGCCCCGCGTAATTCTCAAGCTCAAGCAATTGTTTCATTGACCACGTCTATGATCAAACAGGTCTACTATCAGCCAACTAATCCTAGTCTCCATCGCGTCTGTCATGTTTGTATCCGTAACACCAGGTCTATGACTTCCTATGCTCTATTATCTTGTGTGACAACCCACAAATGTTGTGGTTCAACATTGAACCTAATCAAAGTTAGCAGTAACACAACATTTTTGGGCTGACACACAAAATACTAGGACATAGGAAGTCATCGACTTGGTATTACGGATAGAAACAGGATAGACGCAATGGAGACTAGAGCTAGTTGGCTGACAGTATACCTGTTTGATCATACACGTGGCCAATGAAGCAAATGCTTGACCAAGAGAATTATTCTGGGACTTTAGCAGAGTGTGGGAAATAACGCCTCTAGTAGAATAGATGGGGTGGCAGTGGTCGAGTGAACTACTTGAGCCAAGGAGATAGCAGACAAGAGAGAGACTCTGATAAAGCCTAGGGAAAGAGGACTGTGTAATTATATGGCATACTCTGATCAAAATTCCTAGCACAAGGGTGAAGGAGAGTGAGAAGGTGAGAAAGCCAGCGTCGAGTGTGGAGAGTTGCCATGACATTCGCTCAAAAAGGCACACCATACCACATTTAAATAAGCAAGTAAAAATTGTGATAGTGAAGGCGTGATACGAGGATATAGGATTGGTGATTAGCCTAGGGGGGAAGGAGAGATACAGCGATTGTTTAGCAGACAATTGGTCAAAGGATCGGCTTCACTTGTCTCTTTGAGGAGTTATAGAGTGGCAAGACTTAATGACGATGCCGGCGAAACGTCTGGGAATGTACCATGTCTACGGTCCGACTGGAAATAATCATGCATACTATGGACTCCGGACTAGGTGCCTTCCTCCAGGTTGTTCTGCCAATATGACCAAGTTGCGAAAAAAAGGTCAAGCTACTTCTAAAACTATTAGCAGGAGTTAATCTGAATCACCTATAAATCATCAATTCATCAGAACGGACATTAAAGATGATATAGTCAGGCGCCTCAATAGTTCTCAGTCCAGCTCATCTGACTTATAATAGGAATAGGATCCAATATCATGCATACAGCCACCCATGCTTTCGGTTTTATTGTTGTGAGATAGTAGTTGAATCAAGTTTAATGGCATACATTTTTCACTTATAGAATGCAAGCTTAGCTAGTATTTCTCTAACTGTATTCATAAATCGTTTTATCGCAGGACTGGAATATTCGTGTAACGTATCATGCTGAAGTTGTTGTAAAGGCCAATCTCACAACAAACTGATATCCTACCTTGGAAATAAACTACTAAGCGATTTGTAGGGCAGTAAAATTCAGAGACATAACCGGGATTTTTCTTTATTCATTTTAGGCTGATTCCCTATTCTCTCAGTAAAGTCCTAACGGCCACTGGCGTCCCTTCAAGCACAAGCAAACTTTACTGATGCTTTCACCATTGTTTTACTAAATCCTCCAACTTTCTTTAATCACCTTTGATCTTCACTTCTGTCTTTGCAAATGAACTCTATCCTAATTATCACTTCCGCTAGATTTTTGTTTATTTTTAAGACTTCCTTGCTCATCTGAATTTTTTACTTTAGCACCTCATTTTTTAATTTTGGTCACTAATAGGCGTTCAATAAAATATTATTGATTTTTATCTTCTGATAATACTTCTCTTCCTTAGACTTAGTACCATTTATTTATTGCCTTATTCCAATTTAGCAAATTGAAACGATTACCTCATATGTTTCCAACCACATTGTTGAAGAATATTCCTTCAGCTGGATCATTAATTTTTTCATAAAATGCAGGTTTTTAAACTAATATTCATTAAATTTTGTATTGTTTCACGTTTTTTACCAAGCAGTTCAAACTAGGCCATGAAAAATAAATGAAAACTTTTGTTTGCTTTCATTAGATATGGGACTTCCGTCAGCTCTCCGGGACTACGGGCCAAGAAAGTCGAGCGTCTCATAATGGCAAACAGCGTCATGGCTTCTCATCTACTGACGCCTCTCCCTATAATCCAGACAACAGCACCAGTTCGCGTAGCAACCAGGCTGGCTGGAACGACTCAGCTTCACTTCGTCGTAAGCAACCCGGTGGTGTTCATGGAGATGTATTACCCAAGAATCCACTAACGACCGGGGGTTCTAGCTCAATAGGTAACGACGGTAGTAGTAGTGGTGCTAATTACATTAGTCATTCAGATTCAGCTACCAGCCAACTGGCGACGTCCCTGCCCAGTTCATCCTCATTTGGTCCGGCCGAAGTGATCCCAGCTTCTGGCTGCCCTGTTTGGGAGTCGAGTCCTGCGCAGGGCATGCGCGGTGAGTATCCCTATTCAGCGCGTCTGTTGCCCTGTAGGGCCCTTGCCTGTGGTGGGTCAGGATTCCGCGAACTCAGAGTTATCAATAGAGATACGCTTCTTGTGAGTATTAACTCTTGCTATTT